ATCATCTACCATGAGTTCCTTGCCAGAGCTGAGCCAATGGTATTATCATTCCTTTGAGTGTCCAAGACTGTGAGCTAAGTAAACCTCTGTTGCTTGTAAGTTACCCAGTCTCAGGTATTTCATCACAGTAACAAAAGGGGATTTAATACAAATACCCAACTCAGACTAGTCAAATTAATAAATGGTATTGCTTGGCTCACATAGAAGGGGAATTTTAAGGATTAGAGGAAAGTTTGCGGTTAAGTCAGTATCTCATGACTTCATCAATTAATCTATTTCTCCCTCTTATTTTGCTCTGTTTTTTGTGAAGTCAGCTTTACCCTAAGGCTGTTTGCCCTAAAAATGGCAAAGTGGTTATGGGAATTCCAGACTCACACCCCTTTCAGGACAGACAGAGGAAGAGAGAAGGAGGGAGAGGAAGGAGAGATTGCACAAACGAGCTCCTTTCCAGTGCCCCCAGGAAACTTCTTATTTGGTCCAGTTTGGGTCACATCTAATCTCTGAACCAGAAAATGGACTTAAACTGGTCAGGTTAAACCCAAGCCACTGGTCCTACTCCTAGCACTGGGGCAGGTCAGTTCTATGTAACGTAGGAGCTGGAAAGGATGTTGGAGGAGTATACCACGTCTACTGCAGGGATGTAGTGATTGGCCTAAAGATGGAATGGGTGAGATAACGTACAGAGAGTGCCTAGCACAATGCTGACCCACAGTGTGTAGTCCACCACTGTCAGTTTCCTCCTCCTCCCTAGATCTAGCTAGCTGTGCTGCAAAGAGGCCCAGGGGAGAGAGGATTTCTCCTTTTGGTGTTTCAAGACTGTAAGACAGGGTTGCAAATTCACCTCTCAGCTTCAAGACTCTGTCACCATAGCAGTGGCTGGGAGTGGCCGGTGGAGGGTACCACCACCTCACACTTAGTTCCCAGGAGAATGAATGGAAGGAGGCTTGGGTCCCACCTTTTCGAAGACTTGCTTCCTCAATCATAGGTGCTCGCTGGTCCCCACACTTTTAAGGAGCCAGGTCTGCGAGCGCACAGGGGCTGCTGCCCAGTCATCTTTCTTTGCCCTGCGAGCTCCAACAGGATGGAGTTGGCAGATGTGTCTGGGTCAGGTTCACGGCTTTCCTGCCTCCGTTCCCTTGCTCAAGGCTGTGTAGCACAAGAAAAGACTGTGGGCTGAGCCCAGGACCTCACTTTATCCTCACTGAATGTGATCCTGTGAAATTTCCTTTTGCTTGAGTTTCCTCATCTGTACAAATGGGCCTCGACTCTGGTTCTACCAACTACTTACAGCTGCTTGAGTCTCAAAGAAGGGGTGTGTCTGGAAGCACCTCGTAAGTAAAAGATAAACTTTCCCTAAAAGGGGTTGGCTGACATGAGAGGGGGATACTTTGCTGGTGGAGACGTTTCTCGCTGCTAAGGGTCACCTGCCTGGGACTGGAGAAATGAGATGGACTGAGAGGAACAGAGCAAGTGAGATGCTTTCTCTTGACAGTGAGAGGCTCACACTAGGTTTAACGAGCAATTCTGTATCGATTATCTAGGTGTGCTTATTACAGGTATTGTATGTTAGCTAATTTAATCCTTTTAATAGCACTATTCAATACTAGTGTGCTGGTTTACGGATAAGGAAAGTGAGTCAGAGTGGGTGAGTGACTGGACCAGTGCCACACTTAGGAAGTGGCAGACCAGGATTTGAAGGTTAGATCTGTTTAGCCACCAAGGAAAGTGAGGCCATCAGTTGATTCTGGCAAAAAGAAGTGCCCACCCAGGGTACTGTACCAGGTGGACTAGCTTGTAGGACAAGGAGACATTCATCCAGGGGCTCCTAAGAACTCTTTCATTTGCCTATCCATCCATCTAATCCATACACATTTACTGAGCATCTCACATGTGATAGAAAACTGTGCTACATTTGGAATGAAACAATAAATAAAACAAAGCCCCTGAAGGGTTCAGGAAGTATCAGTGTGGCAGAGTAGCTTGTCAGACAGCTCGTTCATCCTCAGTTCAATCCTGTTAGGAAAATTGCTCCTATTGCTTGGCCGCTATTAAGGTTTTAAACATTATTGTTCTACAGAAATGATCTGCTTACTCTGCCTCCTACAAGAGAATGGCTTACGTCCATAATAACTGAGGATCACATACCCAGTGATTTCATTTCAGAGGCAACTGCAGAATGGTTTTGAAATGATAATAATTGCCTATTGCTCTTGGGATTATCTTATTGTCTAGCAATGGTTATGAAGATAGTAGGGTTTTAACAGGCCAATCAGTCAAGGTGACAGAAGGAAATAATTTTTATTTTTATCTGAATGACTCTCAAAGTGAGTGTCTAATTCAGATCTTAGAAAGATCTGAAAGAACCTCCGTGGAACTGAGCTATAGAGCAATATAGAAAGCTAAAGGTGTGGATCCATGGAAGTGGGGTGTTGTGCGCTTTCAGGAGATGGGATGGTGAGACTCATTAAAACAGCCACCAAATTATTGTTTTGCATCTTAATTCAAAGACGCTGTGCCTCTTTTCTTTCCTGAGTATTGTGCAAACAGACATCCCAGTCTGAAAAAATTCTGCAATTTTATCCACACCAGTGCCATCTGATGGAAGTTTCTCTAGAGAGGGGAATCACACAGTGTTAAGCACTGACTGTGGACCAGTTACACTGGCCATTTAACATTCACTGCAACTTTCTCAGTTGTGTTATTACAAGGCTCTTTCCCTAACTCAAATGCATTGATTTATTCAACGCATGTATTTTTAAAGATCCCACTCTGTGCTGGGTGCTGGGATATAGCAGTGAACAACCTACAAACATCCCTTTCCCGCAGAGCTTTTGTTTTTGTGAGTGGAGAGCAAACTAAACGAAGACCGTACGTGAGGCTTTGGAAAGTGGTGCTACAGTGATAGTGACGGGGTGAGAGAAATAGGAGCGGTAGGCTGGGGGGCTGGAGAGACTTCGTGAATCAGTGTATGAGCCATCTATTGCTGAACAACACAAGTCATTCCAGAACTTAATGGTTTTAAAACAACAGACTTTTAATTACCTCACAGTTTCTTCGGGCCAGGAATCCAGGTAGAACTTAGCTCATATCTCTGCTTCGGGCCTCTCAAAAAGTTGCATTCGCTGTGGAACAGCTGCCAGGATTCTGCTCATGAAAGGCTCTTGGACCAAGAAGACTCCGTTCTTTGCTGGCTGTGGGCGGGGCACCTTCCTCAGTCCCTTAGCTCATGAATCTCTCCATGTGACCACTCATAATATGGCGGTTGGTCTCCCTCCGAGTGAGCAAGCTCGTGGGAGAACGAGTGTGCCCAAGATGGAAGTCATAGTGTTTTTGTAATCTGATCCCCGGAAGGAGGGTTCCTCGTGGCTGCCTAACTATATTTGCTAGAAGCGAGTCACTGAATCACATACTCAAGAGTTCGCGATCACTCGAGGGTGTGAGTACCAGGAGGCAGAGGTCGTCGGATGCTGTACCGCCTGAGCCAGCAGGCCTGATTAATGTGAGAGATGGCATCTGAAGAGAACCCTAAAGGAGGGAGGAGAGGGTGCGTGACTGCCTGGGGGGAGAGCCCTGTGTGTGGAGGAAATAGCTAATGCAAAAGCGAGGAGGGTCCAACCCAGGATGAGGTCAGAGAGGCGGCCTTGGGTTAAACAGAGTTTTGTGCGGGCTGTTGTGGGGATTTTGGATTTTAATTTCAGTGAGGTGGGAAGACTTCCGGCAGAAGGGTACCGTGACATGTGTTTTAAGAGAATCACTGTGGCTGTCCTGTGGAGAACGGGCTGGGAGAGTGAACACCAGCAGAAACCACGGAACAAGTTGGGAGGCGGCTGCACTCATCCAGCGGAGTGACGACCGTGCTTAGACTATGGTGACAGAAGCGGAAGTGGGGGAACAGATGGGATTTTGGAATTACTGCCTAGTAAAACTGACAGGGTTTGCTGATTTTTTTGCGAGAGTATCTCATGTGCAACTAAGGCTCGTCTTGAGCTGGGCTATGTCATCCAGATTGGCCTTGAGTTGTGAGTGATCTTCCTGCCTCAGCCTCCCGAGTGCTGCGATTACTGGTGCCTGCACCCCCACCTGCTTTTGCTAATGGTTTAGATGTAGACTGTAAAGAAAGGAAGGGGTCGGTAATGACACTTGGGGGTCTGGATTTAGCAACGGGGAAAACAGCTCTGTGTTACTAATCTGGGAAATACTGATGGAAGAGAAAGTCTTGAGGGGAGACGTATTAACCAGGGCATCTGAACACATTCACATGCACCTATTAGACACCAGAGCAGAGATGTTTGGTTGTCATAGGCTGCCCTAGTCCAGAGCTCTGCAGTGTGGGGTGGGCCGTAAATACAAATTTGTAAATTTATAGGGTTAAGAGGGTGTTTAAAACTGATGGCATAGGTGGAAATATGGAAGGAGCGATGGTAGGTTGAAAGTCTGCGCCCTGAAACCCAGGGGCGCTCTAAGGTCTAGATATCAGGAAAACAGACCAGGGTGGGAGACCAAGAAGCAGCAGCTGGAAAGGGAGAAGTGTAACGGAGAGGTTAGTGCCTGGAGGTGAAGGTGTTCCCAGCGGGAGAGAGGGGTCAGCTGAGTCAGATGCTGGCAGCTGGTTAAGCAAGACCTATGAGGACTGAAAACGGGCTTCTGGTTTGAGAACAAAGAGGCCGTTGGGGGCCTTGATGAGAGCTGTTTCCGTGGAGGGAGAGACTGAAAAAAAACAACCGGAGAAGGTGAGAACCGAGGCTCTTGGGAATCAGTGCTGTCTTCTGACAACTAGTCCCTAAACTGCCGGTGACAACTTACCTGTGGTTCTTACTAGAAGTGTGATTTGGGGAGCTCCACTCTAGGTTTCTTCGGGTGGAACCTCATTACCTTTATCTTTGACAAGTCCCACAAATGATATCAGACACATTAAATTTGAGACCCAATATCCTGCCCCAGGCATTTCATCCTACATCTGTTCAAGCCGCTGTTTCTCTTCTCTCTCTCTCACGGTTTAGTTCTGAAATGTCCCCGCAAAGCTTTGCCTTGAAGACTTGGTCCCCAACTGAGAAGTGTGCGGAGATGGTGTGTTTGGGAGGAGATTCTACCATGAGGGATTAATCCACAGGTGAGTGTGTAGCTTAGGGGGTTTTGGGAGCTAGTAGGGACTTCAGAAGGCAGGCCGACCTGGAGAAAGCTCACTGGGGGTGTGCTCTGTCTGCAGCCCCTTCTTCTCTCTCTGCTTCCTGACTACCATGAGGTGAGGAGCTTTGCTCTACCACACTCCCCTCACCACAGGCCCAGAGGGGGCAGGCCAGGTCCTCACGGTCTGAAACCGCTGCCACCATGAGTCAAACATAAACCTTTCCTCTTTCAAGTGGGTTTTCTCAGACTCTTACGGCAGTGCAGCGCTAACACGTTATGTAAACCAAATGTCCTGAAGATATTCCTTTATATTCATTGTGTCTTATTTCCTCAAATTTTAAAGAAAATCCGGACAAAGAAATTCTACAGCCCCAAGGAACTGCAGTAGGTAAGCGAATCTCCATTCCCTAAGGGCTTCTAGGAACCTCACAAAATTCAACCTTCTCAGAATCAGCACGTTGCCTCCTGAGGGTGCTGGAAACAGACGTGAGGCCTCCAGTACTTTTTGGCTGCTGAAGCGCTGAATTAACGGCGCCTGTTCACTGGAAAGATGGAGACACTGCCCTCGACGGGCATCTTTGGGGCAGGGGCACTGGAGCAGGGCTGGCCCTGTTCAGCAGTGTCTGCAGATCACTCCTTTCTGGCCTGAGACTTCGGTGGAAGAACTGATACGATTCCAAAAGGACAGTGTGGGAGGAAGAGATGTGGTAGAATTTTAAAGTCGTTTTTCCCTGATGGGATTTGGCAAGAAAGCGTTCCTTCCCCCCGTCTCATTTTCTTTCCTTGTAACCCCATTCCAAGGTCTGCCACCTTGTTCCCGTGTTTCCTTCTGCTGGCTTTTCCACGCCTTCTCACAAGATGCATTTTAGCCCTCTGATCATTTATTGTACCTTGCAAACTCCGGGACCTTGATGGCAGTTTTGGTCCCAGAAGGGAGTGGGAGGATAGAGGACGTCCTTCCTGGACCTCTTCTCGGTCCAGTGGAGTTTGTATTTGTAATCCCAGGGGAAAGTTATTGGAATCCCAATAAATTAACTCCAATCTACCACTTCCCCTGAACCCATGGCGAGAATAAAGACACTAAGGCATATTTGCAGTTGAGGGGAGCCAAGGGGTCCTAAGTCCAGCTAGGATGATAGCCAACTGGAACAAAGGCCTCTACCCAGGGCTGAACCGGGTTTTATTAATTCGTGAAGAGGGACCATGGCTTAGGGATGAGTGAGAGTGATAATGGTGGGAAGTACGTGAGTGCTGAGACCTGGGCCGGGCAGGAGGCCTGAGATCACTCCTGCAACAGGCAGAGGGAGAGTGAGATGCAGGAAGAATGATCTGAGTATCTCATACTTAGGGGCTGGTGCTTCAGCTCTGATGCATGACCTTCATGCCCTGAGTTGTCATGGCCTCTTTCTCGAGGCTCCAGCCCAGCCAACAGCGTGGTGTCACTCAGCCTAGGTCATGCAGAAGAGCTGGGAGCTGTGGTGCGGGGCACCACTGATCTGTCGCGTTGCTTCAAGGACTACACTTCAGTGCCTCAGCTGGACCCACTTGCACTGCTTAAAGCCAATTGAGAGGATGAAGAAATATCCAGCCAGCTCTGTACATATCAGTACATGGAAATAGGGCCAGGTTTAGCCAAAATGGAGCCAAATGCTCTTCTTTCAAGAAGAGCTGTCCTGGTGGTCGTCCACAGGAGGAGGTATGCTGCAATATCCTTAATGAAATCTCCAATTCTAATCTTCCTGTACTGAGACCTGCTACCGATTTCCTCCCTAACTTACTTAACTAGCAAGAGACCATTGACAATGGTTCCTCCGTGGATCAGCAAAGGTGGATGTTAGCCAAAGACAGCTAACAAGGGTGTGTAGAAGTTGTATTCCAGTTATTTTTATGTGTATATATTTTACCAATGGTGGCCAAGATACTTTCAAATATAGAAGAGACTAAAGAAAAATATTATAAAAATGGTGTGTTATGGTTTGTATCTAGATGTTCCCCCAAAGCCTCGTGTAGACACAGGGGGCAGGGTTTTTCAGAAGCATTTTAATTTAGAGCTTGTGACTGATTCATAGTGCAATGCTGGGATTAAGGGTGCTGGGACTAAGGCTGGGTGACTGCTGGATCAATCCACTGATTGGATGGGCACCGCCCTAATCCCAGCAGTCTGGATAAGATAAAAGAGGCAGAAAGAGGCTTGTTTTACCCCTTTTGCTCTTGTTGCTTTTGCTGTCTTTGGTCATCATGAACCGTTGCCCCTCTGCCATGTGCCACCCTGCCTTGGAGCTGATTATGGGCTGAAACCTCCACAAACTGTGAGCTAAATAAACATTTCCCCCTTTAACTTTGTGTGCTTGGTATTTTGTCTCAGCAACAAGAGAAAAGTAACTAAGACATGGTGCTTGTATCTGACATAGTGGCCTGTAACCCAGCATTCTGGGAGGCTGAGGCAAGAGGATTACAAGTTTGAGCCCAACCTGGGCAAGTTAGTGACTAACTCAGTGTCTCAAAATAAAGACTAAAAAGAACTAAGATGTAGCTCAGTGAGAAGGCCTTTGGTTCAACCCTTAGTATAGCAAAAAGAAAAGAAAAGGAAGGTAAGAAAGACAGAAAATGTGTGTGTGAATCTATCTGTGGTTGTGTGTTTAAGTTCCCTCAAAAATAGACATGATAGAAATCGGAGAAGTCCTGGAAAAACTTGCAAACTCAGCAAGTCCTGGGCAAGCGTTAACGGCTGCCCACCACCTGAAACTGTGTCTGTGAAAGGAGGAGGAGGACGGAGGTTGGCGAGTTCCTGCTCAGCGCAGACAAATGTACAAGTGCCATCGGAGTTCCAAAACCAGAAGATGTGTGAGCAGAGAGAAGAGGCCTGGACTTCCCCAGACTCGTCCCAGGAGGAAAGCAAGGAGCCAGCTGCACAGGACCCTCGCATTTATCACCGTCAGTGCGGGACCTGGCAGCCCTCGCGCGCAGTTAACGAGAGGAACATCTGGAGTGGGGGCCACATGTGGACGTGTGCGTCGTTCGGTAGAGGAAGCGCATATTTCAGCTGGGATATAGCGCCGCTTGTGAATCGCCTGAACTTTCTGTCCTCAGCTGAGGGGCGATGCTTCTTCCTAGAACTCTTGTGGTTCTCTCTTTGGGGAAATCTCTAGCAAGACTTAGGATGTCTGAGACTGATCTTTTCAGGGTCTCGTGTCGCAGCCGACGGTGTTTGTGGCTAGTTCGCAACGCTAACTGCATTTTTCCTTTAGTACTTGCTGTAGTCCTCCAAATGCCCGTGTGTTCGAGGCTTGGTCCCCAGCTGGGTGCTGTTGGGAGATGGCAGGATCTTTAAAAGGTTAGAGGTCTTCAGGTCACTGAGGATGTGTCCTTGAAGGGGACTGTGGGGCCTCCTCCTCCTCCTCCTCTTCTCCTTTGGTTCCTGCTTATGAGGTGAGCAGTTTTGCTCCGCCATGCGCTGCTGCCGTGAGGTGCTGTCCTGCCACAGGGCTAAAAGCTGTAACAGGGCGAATGGATCACAAACTAAAACCTCAAAAACTTTAAGCCAGGATAACCCTTTTCTGAGTGTCTCAGTGTTATAGTGATGGAAGCTGATTAGCACCATATTTGAACCCAGTGCCCTTTTCACTCAAAATGCAAATCTTTTTCTTTTTTCTTTTGGTACTGGCAATCAAACTTAGGACCTTGAGCTTGCCAGTCAGGCGCTTGTGCTGCTGAGTTATATCCCTGGCCCTCAAAATGCAAATTTAAGCAGAGCAGTGTGCTTTTTAACATTACTTCGGTGCTTACAAATAACAAGGGGCCAGAATACTGGCTTTATCCAGTGGAAAATCTTTGGACTCTGCACTGACTTCTTTGCTTAATAACCATTCAATGCCCTTGTATAAAATGGGGTCAACTTAGTTTCTTTGAATAATATACGTGGCTTAAAAACATACAAAATTCTAAGGTTTTCTTTTGGTGAGATTTGTTACATATTTCCCAAATGTACTTCTTTCTCTTACAAGATGCAGCGGTGACATTAACGTGACAGTAACTTGTGCACCATTAACCTCAGTTTGGAGTCCCTGCCCTTCGCCTTCAGCTGCCTGCCCTGTTGTACTCCCACCACCTCTCCCTGCGTACCAAAACCCTCCCCTGACCCTCGTAAATAGCACAGTGGACACAATTTAATTTGCCTTTGAAGGCAGCTCTTAAATTTGTTGCAAAGGCAAAGGACGGGCCCTCTCAGCAGCTAAATATATGTGTGGGTGTGAAAACACACACATTTATTTTCCTCAAGTTGCATTCTCACAGATCTTTATTGCCTCTTTAGTGCAGTACACCTTTCCTAATGCTCCGCACCCTCACCCAACACCTGCTTGTTAATTTTGTTCAATTTTTGGCTAGTTTTTTAGCGAGTGAAGACAACTCTCTCCAGTGATATAAAAGACTCTCCCCCTTTTTTCTTGTCTGATCACGTTACTACCACTAATCACATGTCTGCCATATGCTTTCCAAGATACTGGATTCTGTCCTTTTGTTAACTTCTCTTGTGTATCAGCCAGTCTCCAGTTTCCTTCGTCTGGTGCTGCAGGGCAGGGGTGGGGCGACACAGAACGAATATCTGAAAGCAGTGCTTCCTGCTTCCTGGAAAGTGTCCCTTGCTCGTGCACACTGGCGCCGATGGCGGGGCGAGGTTCTGCTGGCCAGCAGCCCTCCTGCCTTGCCCACGTGTGGCGTGACGGCCTTTCCCGCTAAGTTCTACCTCTGTTCCTACTTGAGCTGTCTCAGTTTTACTTCTTAAGTATTTTTCTATCTCATGCCAATATCTTTTCAATTTTAAGTTACAAATAAAAGATCTGGTTTTGTTCTGCCTGCAACTAACTAAAAAGCCTTGGGCAACTTAGGTACTAACTCTCAAATTTCTGATTTGTTAGAGGAGAGAATTTGGTTAAATAAATGCTGATGTCCCTTTTAGCACTGATGTTCTCTGAGTCAAGAAGGAAATGGTCAGGAGAAAGCTGCATGGCCTCATGGGTGGTCCCTGCCCAGCAGTATGATAAACGGAATGCCCACTCAAAGGGCTGCACTTCCCGGGCACCTACTAGACACTGGGCACGTGACCAGATGCATATAGTATTTCACTGAGTTCCCATAGCAACCCCAGGAGTTAGACATTATTATCAGGAGTCCCAAACTTGTTTTATAGGTGAAAGCTAAGTAGCTCTTTCGAGACTACAGGGTAATTGACATAGCAGGACTTTGGCCACCAATCACAGCCTTAACCGGGCTGCTACCTTCGTCTCCAGTTCACTTGCTGTTTGACTTTGCCTGCCAATCTCCGAAGGCCACTTCCTAGCTGCCATCTTGGAATCAGAAAGTCTGGCATCTAGTCTTGCTTTGTTGTTGACTGGGTTTTAGCCAGATTGTGTGATCCTGTTGAGCTGCAGCTTTCTCATCTGCAAAACAAAACAAAACATAACAACAACGCCCGAAAAGACCCATCTGTTATAGGCTGCATGATGTTTATGTTCCTCTCAAGGTGTCCCTTACCCCCAGGGTGATGGTATTAAGGGGGCCTTTAGGAGGTGAGAATAGATGAGGGGGACACAGCCCACATGAACGGGATTTGCACCATTGTAAAAGAGACCTGCAAGAGACCCTCGTCCTTCTACCATGTAAGGTTAGAGGAAGAAGACAGCTGCCCGCGAGTTACTAGGTCCTCATCAGACAGAGCATCTGCCAGTGCCTCGTTTTGGACTTGCCAGCCTGCAGAACTGTGAAAAACAAACTTCCGTTGTTTAGAAGCCTCCCATCTGTGAATGCTGGCTCAGCAGCCTGAGGAGGCCCGGGCACTGCCACAGTGGTGGTGAGGACAGAAGGGTGTTAGCTGCATGTCGTCCGGTTGCCCGCCCTGCTTCTCTCTGTGGCCAGCCCTTGTCTGTGGGAAGGGCTTTAAAGACCTACCCCGCAGTTCAGTGCAGGGGGAACTCAACACCAGCCATCCTTCCTGCTGACCCTTATCCTGAGCTGCAGGAAGTGCGCCGCGGCAGCATGGTAAAGCTGTTACAACTG